GTATTTATCTAAAACAAAACGACTCTAGAGAGCAAGCAACTTTTCTAAATTTTGGTGGCAACTTTTTGATATTTGAGCAACTTTAGAGGAACTTTTGGGTATATTGTGAAGGAACTTTTCCTGAATTTACTAGCACAATCTCTTCATGCTTAGTGGGAGGGGAGGGGTTGTACGGGAAGTTAGGGAGCATAGCAGCGTTGCTTTAGCAGCAGTTAGTTTCCTGTCCTTCCCAATCCCACTATTAAGGCTTTGTTGGGGAAAAATTAAGATGTTTGCAATTTTCGTTTCCTTTCCGTGCGGTAAGTTGTAAGATGACATCTTATCAAGCATCAGACGAAAAAACAGTACAAATTCTCAGTCTGTACCCAGTTCAAATTTTCAGTTTGTACCCGGTCTGTAGTCTACATTTTGTACCTAATCGGCATTTTTTACCCGGTCTGCAGTCTACACGCTGTATTGACCAGATTGGTATTGCTGTTTTTGCTCGCGCGAGCTTCAAGTCCGGACCGAAATATTGGGGTTCGAAAAGAAATTTTAATGAGACTATCTTGGCCGCTATGATTGATGTGTGGACTGTATATTGAAGAGTTTTCAGGGACAAGCACAATGATAGAGCGATAATCCGTGTACCTTAGTGCCAACCGATTTTCAATTGCATAGGAAAATGAAACTCAAATTTTATTTTCGTTTTTCCTTTTTCTTTGCAGTGAAAAGACAAAAAAAAAGAAGGAAACGGAATTCGAATTCACGTAATGCTCTCCGTTTCTCTTTTTCTGTAGCTAAAAAAAAAAAAGATTTTAAGTTTCTTTTTCGTTTTTCGTTTTCGTATGGAATTTTGAAAACGGATTACGATTCGTTTTTGGTTTATTGTTTTCGGTTTATGGCATTGAAACTGACAATCTTTGTTTAAGCGGGATTATTTAGGAAACTAAGATGGCGGTGTTAGAAAATGTCTTAGATAAGACTTTCTCCGCCGGTTTCTTATCGAACAGGAACATACTTACCAGGAGCTTGTCACTGAAATCAAGGCTCGATATCCGAATCCAAAGGGCTGTAGTTTACGAAGCCTTAAACGGTTTTGTAATCACCAAGGATAAGGAAAAGAATGCCAGTTTCGGATGAAGCGCTTAAGTGCCGCTCTCCCGTCGTAAAAAAGGTTTCTTTTATTTTTTGCCGAGAATGGATGCCGAGTTGTCCCAAAACGTTGCGTAAACGTGATCGGTCGTAATGCTTACGCGCTTGCGTGACTTACAAAGTTAACAAAAGTGATCGGAAGGTGCCCTCTGGTTAATTTTCGTTGAAATATCAAGTCTTTCTGCACAAAACCGTTGTGGTCCATAACAGCGTAAAATCATTACTGATGAAAACAAATATGTAGAAAGGAGGGCTAGTTCATCGCGCTCCGTTTGCAAAATCTCGGGAGAAACTATAAGAATTCTTTCAGGGTGTATGCATGTTGCTTTGTAAATAACACTGTAACGTATTTCAACTTGTTTGTGTGTTTTTTTAAGCAAAGAGATATGTCTGTAATGACGACAGTGCCAAACTCGATTCTTTTAATTTTGATCTTCTCCACACTGTGCGTAGTTCATGACCTGATATTTCAACGAAGATTATCGAGAAGGCGCCAACCAATCACCTTTGTTTACTTTGTAAGTCACGCAAGCGCGCAAGCGTTACGACCGATCACGTTTACGCAACGCATTCTCCATTCAGTTATTACGAAAACCTAAAATTCTCAACGTCGAAGACAAACAAACGAAGTTTGAACGGTCAAAAGGAGATCTTCGTCGAGTTTCAGAATCATGCAAATTATCACTGACACGAGCGCAATTGAGCAAACACATGGATTTGCGTCGTTTTTAAGATGTTGGTGGATAAAAGCCATAGATATACCCGCGGGTTTGAGGCAATCGGTGAACTTATTGGTGTATAAATTATGCACTGATATGCTTTTTTAGCCCGATCAACGCCTGCATTTTGAGAATTCTTTCGTACAAATTGGTATATTTTGATATGCAAATTAAGGTCGAAGAGAAGGCTCTCCTCTGATCACGCTTGTATGAAAAATATTTCAGCTGAAGTTTCCATATTTTGTCTGTGAATTTAATGAAGGCACCTTGTAATTGCAGCAAGATAGAATTCTGTGAGCTATATCATAGCAGTCGCTGCGCGCTGGACAAAATCTGTAAAATTTACACTTTCGATCGCTGTCCACACGAGTGGTCTAGCCAAAAATCATTTTCGGCTTGTAACGACGCAAAAAAAGAGAATTGGAGAACAACTAAATTATCTTTGAAACATGTGCCCTAAGCCCTTTTCATGGGCAAGAAATTAAAGAAAACTTTTTTCCGACGGGAAGTCGACAGGAGTGCTCTTAGCGAGAGCAGCACTTAAGCGCTCTATCCGTGGTCACAGCGTGTTTTGAAATGAATCCGATACCAGTCCCCAAGGTGTGAACATTTCGGCTTCTCTATTTATTACACCATACGATTGATGTGTGGACTGTATGTTGAAGAGCTCCCGAGGAAAAGCACAATGATGGAGCAGTGATTACTTTATACTAACTGAGGAACTAACTGAGGACGAACGCAAATGCGCGACTTAGCAATGTGGCTGCCTCTGATACACTTCTGCGTGGTCACCGCGTGTGTTGAAATGAACCCGATACGGGTCCCCTAGGTGTGAACATTTCGGCTTAACACTCTTCTCCACATTTTGATCAATGGCCCAGCAGTAGGGAGCAAGGAATTTGAAGATCTCAATGATTCATCCGTAACTGTAACATAAAAAGAGGCTCCGAAAACAACAGCAGTATTTTGATGTAGCTATAGCTGTGTCGTGAAATAAACAAATTCTCCCAGAGTACCATTCTTTTTTATTATAATAGATTAAGTATGAAAATATTTTATATTATTATAACAGATTAAGTATAAAAAGATTTCTTTTTCAGATTGCAGGAAAATGCCTTTCTGGGAGACTTATGTTTTAAAAATTTCCCGGGGAAGCATGCCCCCGGACCCCCCCTAGAGGTTTGGGCCTTCGGCCCTCAATTTTCAAGGGTACCTGCCCACTTTAAAGGCAGTGCCCTTCTACTTTAAAGCTATTTAAACCCTGCTTTAATTGCCTCAGCAATATATGTAGCAACCGCATCACTAATGCGATTACGCAACAAATTTAATTTTGTTAGCGTCTTGTTTACTTTGATTGCCTCAGCAATACATGTAGCACCCGCATCACCAATACGATTAAGCAACAAATTCAATTTGGTTAGCGTCTTGTTGATTTTGATTGCCTCAGCAATACATGTAGCACCCGCATCACTAATACCATTGCAAGACAAATCCAAATTGGTTAGCGTATTGTTGACTTTAATTGCCTCAGCAATACATTTAGCACCCGCATCACTAATACCATTGCCAGACAAATCCAAAATGGTTAGCGTCTTGTTGACTTTGATTGCCTCAGCAATACATGTAGCACCCACATCACTAATATCATTACGAAAAAAATTCAATTTGGTTAGCGTCTTGTTGACTTTGATTGCCTCAGCAATACATGTAGCACCCGCATCACTAATACCATTGAAAGACAAATCCAAATAGGTCAGATTCAAACCAGTTCCAAACGACTTAGCTAACTGTGAGTGAAAATCACTTTTTTCTCTTTTACATTCGTTGATGGCCTCTAATACAATTTTTGTACCATGGCCTTCACTTTTGTTGACTTCATTTGTTAAACTCTTTACAAGAGCCACAACTTGTTCATCGCATTTCATGCCTAAAATTCCACATGAAAACAAAAGTATTTGTTTAAGTTCAACAAAATACCTTGGATCGGAAACTAATTCTTCAGGTTTAATTTTCTTGCTTTGAATCTGAGAACAAATGAAGAATGCTGAAAAGAATTCTTGAAAACTTTTATGTAAGAAGGCATAATGCAGTGTTTGTCTCAATTTGCTGCCACCAGGCTGCACTGACAGAAATCCAAATTCAGTCAGGTCTTTTGCATGGTTTCTCAATTCACTTTCATTAAAATCCAACTTATCGTCAAGTAAACCATTCAACGCTACCTTTCCAAGGTGATTCAATTGCGGTTTGTAATGGTTTGTCAGGTCTTCGATCTTTTCTAATAGTCCCTTCTTTTTTCTATATCTTCTCAAAACACATTCAACCATATCCAAGTACAGTTGAGCTCTGCTTTCGGGGAGTGTGCCCTCAACCTCTTCGCATAGAAGGCAAAGAAGTGCTGTGTTTAGAGGATTGGCCGCTATTTCTCTCAGGTTTTTATCTCGCGACATCCGTTGCGAGAGCTTGGTGGCTAAATCCGTCCTTTCTTTAAAGTACTTGGTGACAAATCCTTTCACATGCTCTTCAGTGAATCCTTCGATCTGAAGCAGCGTGTCACAACATTTCCTCACCTTTTTTCCAGCTTCGTGTCTTGCTGTTGCAACTATGTAGCATCTGGGGAGTACTCTTCCTTCAATTAATTCGGAAAACATCGACAATTGACTGGACGGTAACTCATCCAATCCATCCAATATCAATAAAATGCTGGACTGATTTTCACGAATAAACTGAAAGAATTGTTGTTTGACTTCTTCATCGATGTCTCGGGGCAGAAGCTGATCATCAATAGCTTCCCAAACGTCAGAATGGATATCTCGACATTTCAGCAACAATACCACTTTAAATGCTGTTGAGCCGCAACCCTGAGGCTCTTGCTGTTTTGTGGCCCAGTCGTAGACGTACTTTTTACAATAGGTGGTTTTTCCCATACCAGGTTCTCCTTCAATCAACACTGTTCTCGGCGCTGAACACTCTTCATACGGGTCTAGTATTGACGACATCTCAACAAATACGTCAGTGATTTCTCCTCTTGTTTTCTTTCTTCTGACCACTTTGAGCCTTGTAAAAATATTGCCAAGAAAAAACTGAAACTCTTCACACCATGGAAATGGTGAGAGCCATCCCTCACGAGTGTTGTACAGCTGGCGAATT